CCTGGTCAGAACTCTAATGCACTTCCTTAGAGACACTAAATGTGTTTATTGTGTTATTAATGGTACATTCTCACTTCCACTGTGTGGCAGGTACAATTATATTTTGAAAACTTCCAAAAATCAAACATTGAGTTTGTACTCACCAAGTTGTACTCAGTTGTGCTTGCGGGGAGTTGAGTTCTAGCTCTTTGGTCCCGCCTCTCAACTGTCAATCAACTGGTGTACAGGTTCCTGAGCCTACTGGGCTCTATCATATCTACACTTGAAACTGTGTATGGAGTCAGCCTCCACCACATCACTGCCTAATATATTTCACCTGTTAACTTTTCTGAGGCTGAAAAAATGATTTGTAATGACTCTGTGGCTCATCTGGGGACCAAGTCTCCACCTGTGTCCCCTTGTTCGTGTTCCACCCGTGCTAAATAGTTTGTCTTTGTCTACAATGTAAATTCCCCTGAGAATTACCCCCTTAATGCTGTCAGGGTTGTAATGTCAAGTCCAAGGGTTCAAGTCTACTGTTAAATCGAGGTTTAAAAATGTGTTTGAGATTCGATTCCCTGTGAGTGTTGGGTGGAGGGGGGTGCACGTGCGTGTGTATGTAATGAGCATCGAGGATGAGTGAGCAAAGCTGAGATGAGATGACATGACATGAGATTCCTCAGCCATGGTAACTAGGAGATTCCTCCTTTGAGATGGCTAGGAGATTTCTCAGCTGTGGTAGCTAAGTGATCCATCAGTCGTGGTAGGTAGGATCAACAAACACGACGCAAATAATATCCACTGGAAACCAACACGAGACAAATAATATCCACTGGGAACCAACACGACGCAAATCAGGCAAATTTCCCCCCATAGACGTTACGTAATTAACAAGAGAAGACAGGAGGCCGGGAGACGCGTCCATAACACCCACCAAAGCTGACAGATAATGTCGAATTGATCTCTTAACAAGAGAACAACAGCTGGACAAACAGGCTTTCACAGGAATAGACAGACTATCCTGTCTCTAGGCCCCCCCCCTCCCCTCTGTCCTCTAGCCTTCCTTCTTACCGTCTCTTAAGACGGCTATTGATCGCTTGTGCTTCACAAACGCGAACGGAAATCGTGGTAATTAGGCAGCCGTGAAAACTATCAAGCCATCACGCGGGACGCATCCGGTGGCCGCCTTGCTTATCTGATCACAGCCACGGTTGCCATGGAGATGTAATAATATTGTTAGGACAGCTCCCATTTTTTTTTTTTTTAATCTTTTTTTTTTCGTTATCAATTTTTCTTTCAGTTGAGTGCTTTCAAACGCGTTAGAGGGCGTATTGCGTAATCTGTCCGCTGCTGCGTATATGTGCGACCCAAAGGGGCAAGTGAGGAGAGCCCGGTCATGGGGGTTTTCGTTGACGGGGCGAGAGGAGGAGGAGGAAAAAAAAGCTTTAGTCTCCCCTTGATGTTATCGGGGCCCAGGGCGGCTCTGAGATTGGATCGCATCAGGTAAGAGTAGTTCCGCGCGGGCGTGAGAGGGGGGAACCCAGCAGCAGCAGCGTTTAAACTGATTTCGAACGTTTATCCGTGTTTATCGAACGTGAGATCGTCAGTTGTTTTGTTGTTGGGTTGGGTGGCAGCGGGGCGTGAGAGGCGGCGCTGCGCCAGGGACGGGTTCGGAACCCGGCCGATATAGACACCAAAGGGAGGGGTGGGGGGGAGGGGGGGGGAGGTGATGGTGGGGGGAGGAATTGATTTGCAGATCTGTGCTTTATTGTTGTTACCTGGTATTGCTTAAACGGATTGGGAGGACTTGGGGAGATTGGGAGGACTTGGGGAGATGGGGAGGACTTGGGGAGATGGGGAGGACTTGGGGAGATGGGGGAGGACTTGGGGAGATGGGGAGGACTTGGGGAGATGGGGAGGACTTGGGGAGATGGGGAGGACTTGGGGAGATGGGGAGGACTTGAGGAGATGGGGGAGGACTTGGGGAAATGGGAGGTCTTGGGAAGATGGGGAGGACTTGGGGAGATGGGGAGGACTTGGGGAGATGGGGGAGGACTTAAGGAGATGGGGAGAAGAGACAGTGTTATGCAGGTCATATTGTGACAACATACTGACAGGTGTCAATCACCCAACATACTGACAGGTGTCAATCACCCAACATACTGACAGGTGCCAATCACCCAACATACTGACAGGTGTCAATCACCCAACATACTGACAGGTGTCAATCACCCAACATACTGACAGGTGTCAATCACCCAACATACTGACAGGTGCCAATCACCCAACATACTGACAGGTGTCAATCACCCAACATACTGACAGGTGTCAATCACCCAACATACTGACAGGTGTCAATCACCCAACATACTGACAGGTGTCAATCACCCAACATATACTGAAGGTGTCAATCACCCAACATTCTGACAGGTGTCAATCACCCAACATACTGACAGGTGTCAATCACCCAACATACTGACAGGTGCCAATCACCCAACATACTGACAGGTGCCAATCACCCAACATACTGACAGGTGTCAATTACCCAACATACTGACAGGTGTCAATCACCCAACATACTGACAGGTGCCAATCACCCAACATACTGACAGGTGTCAATCACCCAACATACTGACAGGTGTCAATCACCCAACATACTGACAGGTGTCAATCACCCAACATACTGACAGGTGTCAATCACCCAACATACTGACAGGTGTCAATCACCCAACATACTGACAGGTGTCAATCACCCAACATACTAACAATCCAAAAACTAGTTTTCCCATTAAAATCTCACAAATACCTCCCCTGCATAAAATAATTTCTCTCCCAATGCCCAAGGCTTAGAAAGGAACACGAAAAAATATAACATGAACAAATAAAACATGAACAAATAAAACATGAACAAATATAACATATAAATAACACATCAGCCGCCGCTTAGAACAACCGGCCGATGATAAATCAATTAAATCCGGATAAAACAATCATCACAGAGAGAATAAACCGGCGCATCACCGGCCGTCAATAGATTATTCACTCAAATTAAACAATGATTAAAAAAAAAAGGCGAAAATAACAAAAAACCATCGTTCACAATTCCGGGAAATCAAGGCCTGAAAGCGAGGCGTGGGGGGGGGGGGTAATATGTCTCTTCGCAGCGTTCACGCAAGACAAAAAGCAATCTTCAATCACGCGCTCTCAACTTTGAGCGATTTAGAGGCGCTTTGAATAATTTAGAGAAAGCCTAACTGCCATTTAAGTGAGCGAGCGCTTGCCCTTGATTGGGTCGCATCCCGGACGCTAATGATTACAAACGAGTGGCCATACGATTGGCCAGAAGAATCAAACACCAGCTAAATGGCCGGGCGTAATATTCACTAATGGGAGAGCTGTGATCTCACTGTTAAGAATTCTTCAATATTGCGTGGGGGCTGTCGGCCGTTGACTGTGGTTCTAGGGGGGGGGTTGTCGGCCGTTGACTGTGGTTCTGGGGGGCTGTCGGCCGTTGACTGTGGCTCTGGGGGGGCTGTCGGCCGTTGACTGTGGCTCTGGGGGGCTGTCGGCTGTTGACTATGTGGTTCTGGGGGGCTGTCGGCCGTTGACTGTGACTCTGGGGGGCTGTCGGCTGTTGACTGTGGCTCTGGGGGGCTGTCGGCCGTTGACTGTGGCTCTGGGGGGGGGCTGTCGGCCGTTGACTGTGGCTCTGGGGGGCTGTCGGCAGTTGACTGTGACTCTGGGGGGCTGTCGGCTGTTGACTGTGGTTCTGGGGGGCTGTCGGCCGTTGACTGTGGCTCTGGGGGGGCTGTCGGCCGTTGACTGTGGCTCTGGGGGGGCTGTCGGCCGTTGACTGTGACTCTGGGGGGCTGTCGGCCGTTGACTGTGGCTCTGGGGGGCTGTCGGCCGTTGACTGTGGCTCTGGGGGGGCTGTCGGCCGTTGACTGTGACTCTGGGGGGCTGTCGGCCGTTGACTGTGGCACTGGGGGGCTGTCGGCCGTTGTCTGTGGCTCTGGGGGGCTGTCGGCCGTTGTCTGTGGCTCTGGGGGGCTGTCGGCCGTTGACTGTGGATCTGGGGGGCTGTCGCCCGTTGACTGTGGCTCTGGGGGGGCTGTCGGCCGTTGACTGTGGCTCTGGGGGGCTGTCGGCCGTTGACTGTGGCTCTGGGGGGCTGTCGGCCGTTGACTGTGGCTCTGGGGGGCTGTCGGCCGTTGACTGTGGCACTGGGGGGCTGTCGGCCGTTGTCTGTGGCTCTGGGGGGCTGTCGGCCGTTGTCTGTGGCTCTGGGGGGCTGTCGGCCGTTGTCTGTGGCTCTGGGGGGCTGTCGGCCGTTGTCTGTGGCTCTGGGGGGCTGTCGGCCGTTGTCTGTGGCTCTGGGGGGCTGTCGGCCGTTGTCTGTGGCTCTGGGGGGCTGTCGGCCGTTGACTGTGGCTCTGGGGGCTGTCGGCCGTTGACTGTCGCTCTGGGGGGCTGTCGGCCGTTGACTGTGGCTCTGGGGGCTGTCGGCCGTTGACTATAGCTCTGGGGGGCTGTCGGCCGTTGACTGTGGCTCTGGGGGGCTGTCGGCCGTTGACTGTGGATCTGGGGGGCTGTCGCCCGTTGACTGTGGCTCTGGGGGGGCTGTCGGCCGTTGACTGTGGCTCTGGGGGGCTGTCGGCCGTTGACTGTGGCTCTGGGGGGCTGTCGGCCGTTGACTGTGGCTCTGGGGGGCTGTCGGCCGTTGACTGTGGCTCTGGGGGGCTGTCGGCCGTTGACTGTGGCTCTGGGGGGCTGTCGGCCGTTGTCTGTGGCTCTGGGGGGCTGTCGGCCGTTGTCTGTGGCTCTGGGGGGCTGTCGGCCGTTGTCTGTGGCTCTGGGGGGCTGTCGGCCGTTGTCTGTGGCTCTGGGGGGCTGTCGGCCGTTGTCTGTGGCTCTGGGGGCTGTCGGCCGTTGACTGTGGCTCTGGGGGCTGTCGGCCGTTGACTGTCGCTCTGGGGGGCTGTCGGCCGTTGACTGTGGCTCTGGGGGCTGTCGGCCGTTGACTATAGCTCTGGGGGGCTGTCGGCCGTTGACTGTGGCTCTGGGGGGCTGTCGGCCGTTGACTGTGGCTCTGGGGGCTGTCGGCCGTTGACTGTGGCTCTGGGGGCCTGTCGGCCGTTGACAGTGGCTCTGGGGGGCTGTCGGCCGTTGACAGTGGCTCTGGGGGGCTGTCGGCCGTTGACTGTGGCTCTGGGGGGCTGTCGGCCGTTGACAGTGGCTCTGGGGGGCTGTCGGCCGTTGACTGTAGCTCTGGGGGCCTGTCGGCCGTTGACTGTGGCTCTGGGGGCCTGTCGGCCGTTGACTGTGGCTCTGGGGGCTGTCGGCCGTTGACTGTAGCTCTGGGGGCTGTCGGCCGTTGACTGTGGCTCTGGAGGGCTGTCGGCCGTTGACTGTAGCTCTGGGGGCCTGTCGGCCGTTGACTGTGGCTCTGGGGGCCTGTCGGCCGTTGACTGTGGCTCTGGGGGGCTGTCGGCCGGTGACTGTGGCTCTGGGGGCTGTCGGCCGTTGACTGTGGCTCTGGGGGCTGTCGGCCGTTGACTGTGGCTCTGGGGGCTGTCGGCCGTTGACTGTGGCTCTGGGGGCTGTCGGCCGTTGACTGTGGCTCTAGGGGGTCTGTCGGCCGTTGACTGCGGCTCTGGGGGCTGTCGGCCGTTGACTGTGGCTCTGGGGGGCTGTCGGCCGCTGACTGGCTCTGGGGGCTGTCGGCCGTTGACTGTGGCTCTGACGGCTGTCGGCCGTTGACTGTGGCTCTGACGGCTGTCGGCCGTTGACTGTGGCTCTAAGGGCTGTCGGCCTCTGTCGGAATATCATAAACATATGCACCTCAGCGCTCTATGATTTAATTTCAAAAGACTGAAACTAATATGTTGTATCGTAAGTGTTGATTTGATCTATGCAAGATGATATATTGGTATATGACCGCAGATCTAGCTTATGAAAATATATAATTTAAGCTATAAGCTATATTTGTAGAGTGAGATAGACGGCTATCAGTGATGATAGCACGAGTGACTACGAGATAAAAGACTCGCGCTGCTCTGTTTCGTGTTGCAGACGTGTTGAGCAGCAAGATTACTTACTAAATGGGATCATCCATCCCTAGATACGGATCCATGTTGCTGATCTTTAGCGAGATTGAGGCTTCTGTATGGTGCCTCAAGATGATGCCTCAAGATGATGCCTCAAGATGGTGCCTCAAGATGGTGCCTGAAGGTGGTGGCTCTAGATGGTGCCTCAAGATGGTGCCTCAAGATGGTGCCTGAAGGTGGTGGCTCTAGATGGTGCCTCAAGATGATGCCTCAAGATGGTGCCTCAAGATGATGCCTCAAGATGGTGCCTCCAGATGATGCCTCAAGATGGTGCCTCAAGATGGTGCCTCAAGATGGTGCCTGAAGATGGTGCCTCAAGATGGTGCCTGAAGGTGGTGGCTCTAGATGGTGCCTCAAGATGGTGCCTCAAGATGGTGCCTCAAGATGGTGCCTCAAGATGGTGCCTGAAGGTGGTGGCTCTAGATGGTGCCTCAAGATGGTGCCCCAAGATGGTGCCTCAAGATACTGCCTCAAGATGGTGCCTCAAGATGATGCCTCAAGATGGTGCCTGAAGGTGGTGGCTCTAGATGGTGCCTCAAGATGGTGCCTCAAGATGGTGCCTCAAGATGGTGCCTCAAGATGGTGCCTCAAGGTGGCGCTTCAAGATGGTGCCTCAAGATGGTGCCTCAAGATGGTGCCTCAAGATGGTGCCTCAAGATGGTGCCTCAAGATGGTGCGTCAAGATGGTGCCTCAAGATGGTGCCTCAAGGTGGCGCTTCAAGATGGTGCCTCAAGATGGTGCCTCAAGATGGTGCCTCAAGATGGTGCCTCAAGATGGTGCCTCAAGATGGTGCCTCAAGATGGTGCCTCAAGGTGGCGCCTCAAGATGGTGCCTCAAGATGGTGCCTCAAGATGGTGCCTCAAGATGGTGCCTCAAGATGGTGCCTCAAGATGGTGCCTCAAGATGGTGCCTGAAGGTGGTGGCTCTAGATGGTGCCTCAAGATGGTGCCTCAAGATGGTGGCTCAAGATGGTGCCTCAAGGTGGTGCCTCAAGGTGGTGCCTCAAGGTGGTGCTTCTATATGCTGCCTCAAGATGGTGCTTCAAGGTGGTGCCTCAAGGTGGTGCCTCAAGGTGGTGCCTCAAGGTGGTGCCTCAAGGTGGTGCCTCAAGGTGGTGCCTCAAGGTGGTGCCTCAAGGTGGTGCCTCAAGATGGTGCTTCAAGGTGGTGCCTCAAGGTGGTGCCTCAAGGTGGTGCCTCAAGGTGGTGCCTCAAGGTGGTGCCTCAAGGTGGTGCCTCAAGATGGTGCCTCAAGGTGGTGCCTCAAGGTGGTGCTTCTCAGGTGGTGGTGGTGCTTCAAGGTGGTGCCTCAAGGTGGTGCCTCAAGGTGGTGCCTCAAGGTGGTGCCTCAAGGTGGTGCCTCAAGGTGGTGCCTCAAGGTGGTGCCTCAAGGTGGTGCCTCAAGATGGTGCTTCAAGGTGGTGCATCAAGGTGGTGCCTCAAGGTGGTGCCTCAAGGTGGTGCCTCAAGGTGGTGCCTCAAGGTGGTGCCTCAAGGTGATGCCTCAAGGTGGTGCCTCTGGTCTAGGTGGTGCCTCAAGGTGGTGCCTCAAGGTGGTGCCTCAAGGTGGTGCCTCAAGGTGGTGCCTCAAGGTGGTGCCTCAAGGTGATGCCTCAAGGTGGTGCTTCTATATGCTGCCTCAAGATGGTGGTGGTGCCTCAAGGTGGTGCCTCAAGGTGGTGCCTCAAGGTGGTGCCTAAAGATGGTGCCTCAAGATGCTGCCTCTAGGGACTGAGAGGCACAACACTGCTTCACACACACTACAATGGACATCTTCCACCGCATCATCTTAACTCACTACGGTAGAGCGACTGTCTTACTTCCTGCAGATCGGCGGTCAATCCCCGACCGTCCACAAGTGATTGGGCACCATCCCTCTCTTCTCTCCCCCCCCCCCCCGTCCCATCCCAAATCCTTATCCTGACCTCAATCCAAGTGCTATATCGCCGTAATTGCTTGGCGCTTTATCCAGAGAGTTCCTTCCGTTCCAACACGTTCCGTTCCGTTCCGTTCTTCAAAACCGGATGAGAGTGAGGGTGATATAGAATGGAATTAAGGGGTTGGGGAGGTTGAAGGGAAAGTGGTGGAAGGGGCAAGTTGAGGTGTATTTGAGGGGGAGCGAGGGACAGTGAAGGGAGGGGTAATCCAATCAGAGGTTCTCCCTGAATCTCACCCCCCTAATCCCCTCCAGGGGCGCCCCTACTAGGGGCGCGGGCCGGAGTAGAGGGAGCAGAGGTAACCTGAGCAACAGGAGTCCGTTATCCAACTCCAGGATTACCCCATCACAGGTCTAACTGTCCCGTGACGCTGGGCATGGTAATCACCGGTCACGCCCGGATCAATACCCTTAGAGGGGGGGGGGGACGATACCCCTGCGGTTTGAAGCGGCGATTCCGGTAGGGAATGAAGGGGCGATTCCGGTAGGGAATGAAGGGGCGATTCCGGTAGGGGAATGAAGGGGCGATTCCGGTAAGGAAATGAAGGGGCGATTCCGGTAAGGGAATGAAGGGACGATTCCGGTAGGGAAATGAAGGGGCGATTCCGGTAGGGGAATGAAGGGGCGATTCCGGTAAGGAAATGAAGGGGCGATTCCGGTAAGGAAATGAAGGGGCGATTCCGGTAGGGAAATGAAGGGGCAATTCCGGTAGGGAATGAAGGGACGATTCCGGTAGAGGAATGAAGGGACGATACAGGGTACACAGCTTGCATGAAGAGTTTGAGTGTGAGTTCACCCTCACAGTATGAGGATGAACTCACACTTCAGTGAGGATTAAGTGTGAGTGTCACCTCATGCAGTGTGACAATAGTGGGAGCCGTGAGAAGGATTCGAACCCATGCTCAGGGGTACTCCCAAGCACACGCCCCACACCACTACACCACGACATCTTCAGAGCATTGCAACTTGGAACTCGACTGAATCCTCTACGAGTCATGAAGATTCAACTGAAAAACCCTGACTTGGCTTCATATGAAGCCTCAGGACCCATATAGGATTCACTTGAATCCAAAATTGTATTTGCCTTCATGTCGTGGGGTAGTGGTGTAGGACGTGTGCTTACAGTACACAGAGCACCGGTTCGAATCTTCCTCATGACTAATACTGATTTTCTCAATACAACAAATATTGACTGGGGTTACCTTGGGTAATCTGAGGTAACCTGGAGTAACCTGGAGTAACCTGGAGTAACCTGGGAGTAACCTGGAGTAACCTGGAGTAACCTGGGGTAACCTGGGAGTAACATGGAGTAACCTGGAGTAACCTGGAGTAACCTGGAGTAACCTGGGGTAACCTGGAGTAACCTGGAGTAACCTGTAACCTGGGTAACCTGGAGTAACCTGGAGTAACCTGGGTAACCTGGGAGTAACCTGGAGTAACCTGGAGTAACCTGGGGTAACCTGGGAGTAACATGGAGTAACCTGGAGTAACCTGGAGTAACCTGGGGTAACCTGGGAGTAACATGGAGTAACCTGGAGTAACCTGGAGTAACCTGGAGTAACCTGGAGTAACCTGGAGTAACCTGGAGTAACCTGGGGTAACATGGAATCACCTGGGGTAACCTGGGGTAACTTGGGAGTATCCTGGAGTAACCTGGGGTAACCTGGGGTAACCTGGGGTAACCTGGGAGTATCCTGGAGTAACCTGGGGTAACCTGGAGTAACCTGGGGTAACCTGGAGTAACCTGGAGTAACCTGGGGTAACCTGGAGTAACCTGGGGTAACCTGGAGTAACCTGGAGTAACCTGGGGTAACCTGGGGTAACCTGGGGTAACCTGGGAGTATCCTGGAGTAACCTGGGGTAACCTGGAGTAACCTGGGGTAACCTGGAGTAACCTGGAGTAACCTGGGGTAACCTGGGGTAACCTGGAGTAACCTGGAGTAACCTGGGGTAACATGGAATCACCTGGGGTAACCTGGAGTAACCTGGAGTAACCTGGAGAAACCTGGAGTAACCTGGGATACCCTGGGGTAACCTGGAGTAACCTGGGGTAACCTGGGGTAACCTGGAGTAACCTGGAGTAACCTAGAGTAACCTGGAGTAACCTGGGGTAACCTGGAGTAACCTGGAGTAACCTGGAGTAACCTGGAGTAACCTGGGATAACCTGGGATAACCTGGAGTAACCTGGGAGTATCCTGGAGTAACCTGGGGTAACCTGGAGTAACCTGGAGTAACCTGGAGTAACCTGGAGTAACCTGGAGTAACCTGGGGTAACCTGGAATCACCTGGGGTAACCTGGGGTAACCTGGGAGTATCCTGGAGTAACCTGTAACCTGGGTAACCTGGAGTAACCTGGAGTAACCTGGAGTAACCTGGAGTAACCTGGGTAACCTGGAGTAACCTGGGGTAACCTGGAGTAACCTGGAGTAACCTGGAGTAACCTGGGGTAACCTGGAGTAACCTGGAGTAACCTGGGGTAACCCTGGAGTAACCTGGAGTAACCTGGAGTAACCTGGAGTAACCTGGAGTAACCTGGGAGTATCCTGGAGTAACCTGGGGTAACCTGGAGTAACCTGGGGTAACCTGGAGTAACCTGGAGGAGGTAACCTGGAGTAACCTGGAGTAACCTGGAGTAACCTGGAGTAACCTGGAGTAACCTGGAGTAACCTGGAGTAACCTGGGAGTAACCTGGAGTAACCTGGAGTAACCTGGGGTAACCTGGAGTAACCTGGAGTAACCTGGAGTAACCTGGAGTAACCTGGGGTAACCTGGAGTAACCTGGAGTAACCTGGAGTAACCTGGAGTAACCTGGAGTAACCTGGAGTAACCTGGGGTAACCTGGAGTAACCTGGAGTAACCTGGGGTAACCTGGAGTAACCTGGAGTAACCTGGAGTAACCTGGGGTAACCTGGAGTAACCTGGAGTAACCTGGAGTAACCTGGAGTAACCTGGAGTAACCTGGAGTAACCTGGAGTAACCTGGAGTAACCTGGTGTAACCTGGAGTAACCTGGAGTAACCTGGAGTAACCTGGAGTAACCTGGAGTAACCTGGAGTAACCTGGAGTAACCTGGAGTAACCTGGAGTAACC